AAGATGGGAGCAGCGCCCAGGCTTCTAGAGTAATGGTTCTCAACCTGTGGGTCAGGACCCTTATGGGGCGGTGTTGAATGACCCTCTCCTGGGGATTGCATGTGAGATACCCTGCGTATCAGATACTTACATTACATTTCATACCAGTAACATAATTACAGTTAGGAAGCAGCAGAAAATAATTTTATGGTTTTTTTTTTTGGGCAAGGGGGTGTATCACCACAACATAAGGACCTGTATTAAAGGGTGTTAGCATTAGGGAGGTTGAGAACCACTGAGCTAGAACATAACAATCAGACAGTAAACATGATCATACGGTTAACTCGTGTCACAGCCCTTATCTTAGTCTCTACTAGAATACACTGGCTGTTCAAGTTCTAAGCCATTTTGAAATATTCTTTAATGGTGTGCTTTTCTGTAGCACTTGTTTATGTATATGTGTCTTTGTGTATATGTGGGGAAAACACGAATGTATAGATATATGTACCTGTGTGTGCATATGTGTATGAAAGCCATATGTCAATTTCAAATACCATACTTGGGAATTTCCCACTGTTCTTGATTTTATTTATTTATTAATGTTTTTAAGACAGAATTTCTCACTGACCTTGGCATCTCCCTGTCTTGGCTTTGGGGTCTTGCATGTGTATTGCATCATGCTTGTATTTTGGATTTTTTTACCTCTATGTGGGTTTGGGGGAGCCTAGGGAGCATCATGTACTTCTCAGGAGCATATCTCCATGTCCTTGTCTAAGAGCAGCATGTAGGTATCTTCCTTCTACATCTACATTTGCATATAAGAACACCCAGAGTGCTAAGATATTCCTGGGGTCAGTGTTACAGAAGATTATCTGGGAGTAGTGGATGTGATCACTTAGCACCCAGGACGATCCCATCTCTTCTCTAACAGAATCACTGTTTTGTGCAAGGACTGGTTGACCATGTCTTATAAATCCTGCCTCACTGAACTCACTGGTGTCTCTCCCTTGCCTGTATCTACTCTATGATGCTCATGTGACACAGTTCTGGCTAATGGAGTACAGGAAGCTCTGGGAAAACTTATTTTTGTTCTCAAAAAGACTCACAAGGGGCTAGGAAAATTTCTTAGCATTTAAGAGCATATACTGTTCATCTAGAGGACCAGAGTCTGGTTCCTAGAACCCAGGCCAGGCTCACAACAATCTGTAACTCCAGTACCAGGGGATCCTGTGTCCTCTTCTGGCTTCTCAGCACCCCTCACCCCTGGAAACACACTCATGAACACACAAACACACACAAATAAGATTAGAGTTAAAAAAAGAAAGAGACACAGCTGGGGTAATTTTTTTACTTGCATCTTTGTTATTAATTAGATTTGCTCTTTGGCATTTTCTTACATGTGTAAAATGCATTCTATGTTAATATTATGGTTTTAACTTCATACTATTGTCTCATAAGATGTAATTAGGCAATTCTTGTGTACTTGTTTATAATTACATATGCTTATAATTATTTCAAAACTAAAAAGAAAAATAAATTAAGGAAAGAAGCCAAAGAAGGGAAATCTTTTCTTTGAGGATGCCATTACCATCCTGGGATTTTTGGGGAACAGCCCTGGAGATAAATACCAGGATGCTGAACTGTGTGCACCATGGCAGAGACAATCGGGATTTCCAAGGATGCCTCTGAAGTGCCCTGCATTTGAATTTCTTTCTTCTTGTTATGTAACATGGCATATATCGGTTGATGTTTGAGCCCTTTTGAGATTAGATTTCACTTCTAGAAACACTCTATGTGGCTTCCACAGTCATCTCAACAGGTGGCAACTGGTTATTGGGTGTGTCCGAGGGAGAAAACATTAAGCCTTTCTATTCCCAACTCTGAACAGGCTGCCCTTTCCTTTAAGTGATGCTGCTGACCCACAAAGCAGAATGATGCTCCAGGAGTGTGTGCCATTTTTCTGAGCTGGATATAATTAATACCCGTGGCAACCAGCATATCAATGCTTGCTTTAGTGAAAGCCTGGCTCAGAGTCCCAGAGTAGCTCTTTAATATGTAACTTTTAGTAAGCTAACTAAAGAAAATGTCCTTGTTCAGAGGGAAAGGATGCCAGCAAAATGGGTAATTTAGGATCTTAGTTATATTTTTGTTATACTAGAGAAATTCTAACTCACCCATAATGTTTATAAACTTACTAGCCTCGTTTTCATGAAGGTGGGTCCCTTTTCGAAAATCCTAGGTGTAGAACCGGTCATACCTGTTAGACTGTAATGATGTCATGGACTGGTATCTTGGGAGAGAAGCTCAGGCTTATGTTTTGTACAACAGCCAATAGAAATAATTCATAATTAGTTGCCTCAATCTAAAATTTACCATTATAGGAATGATGTCTTACTAGCTGATTCAGGTACAGATCCCTTAGAGGAAAATGTTTGAAGAAGTAAAGAAAAATTTGCCTTCTTGGGGATTACAAATTGCTCATGAAGAAAGACAAAGAGGAGATTCTATTAATTGTCTAGGATATAAGATAGATTTACAAAAAATTTCAACACAGAGAGTACAAACCATGAGAAATCAATTATGAACTCTTAATGATTTTCAAAACTTTCTGGGTGATATCAACTGGTTATGGCCCACAATTGGATTGACTCAAGAATGGGGTAATTTATTTCAAATCTTACAAAGTGAGAAGGAGTTAAATAATCCAGGAAAATTATCAGCTGAGCCTGAGAGAGAATTGACTTCGCTAGAAAAAATATTGCAGGATGCATATGTGGATCATTTGGATCCAGAGCTTGACTGTATCCTGGTTATTTTACTTTCTACACATTTTCCTCCAGGAATTCTAATGTAGAAAGAAGATAGTGTCTTAGAATGAATGTTCTTTTAATCATACAAACAAACAGAGCAAAAATTGAAGATGTATGTAGAAAAGTTTTCTAAATTGATTCTGAAAGGAAAATTAAGACTTTGTAAATGAGCAGGAATAGATGCATCAGAAACCATGGTAGCTTTTACTAATACTGAAATTTCCTCATTATGGACAGAAAGTGAACAACATCAGCAAACAGCTTGAAGCATTGTTTTTTGTTTTTTTGTTTTTTTGTTTTTGGTGGGGAGAGATTAGCAACAAATATTCCAAAAGCCAGAGACTTCAGTTTATAAAGAGAACTAATTGGATCCTTCCTCATATTGTACAGGGGACACCAATATCTGGAGCCCCTGCATTCTATACTGATGCAAATAAATTAGGAAAGGCAGGTTATAAGTCAGGGAATTTAAGTAAAGTGGCTCAAAGCCCTTATGATTCTGTTCAAAGGCCGGAATTATATGCAATTCTCATGGTATTATTAGATTTTCCAGAACCTCTTAATATAGTTACTGACTATCAATATGCAAAAAGATTGTTCTGCATATTGAAACTGCTGAACTTATTCCAGATGATTCAAAATTAAGTTTGTTATTTATTCAATTACAAAAATAATCATAAATAGAAATCATCTCTTGTGTATAATGCATATCAGATCCTATATGGGTCTGCTAGGCCCTCTTGCACAACATAATGATAAAAATTGATACGCCATTGCTAGAAAATGTGCTAGAAGTCTCAGCATTTCACGACAAACACCATGTTAATAGCAAGGGTTTGAAAAAAGATCTTTCCCTTCACTTGGCAACAAGCCAAGGAAATTATAAGGAAATGTCCTACTTGTTCTTTGTATAACTAAGTTCCACTACCTTTAGGAAATAACCCAAAGGGTACTCAAAGAAATGAAATTTGGCAAGTGGGTGTATTTTAGTTTGCAGAGTCTAGAAAATTAAAATATGCACACCATAGATATATATTTGGGATTTCAATGGGTAACTGCTTTGAATTCTGAAAAGACTAGTTCTGTAATTACACATTTATTAAAAGTTATGGCCATCATGGGGATACATATACAAATTAAGACTGACAATACTACAGCATATATCTCTAGTATTAAAAAAGCTTGACCATTCAATCTAACTAACTTATAAGAATAAAAATGCCTTCTATTTGATCAGGTATAACTTGCCAAAAATGAAAATCTCCAAAGTTAGGGTTGGGGTAGGTTTTGTTTTTGTCTTTCCAGGAGGATAAAAACATCCAACTAAGGAATATGAAGACCACTGGACAAATGAGACATCTGAAGCAAAAGGACAAATCATCAAGAGAAAATGTCCCAAGAAAAATAGTAAATTGTCCTAATGGTATAACACATTTCCAACAGGATTAAAATTCATAAATTATCCCAAATGTTTGTTTCTGCTGTTCTCTACAGATACATAAGGCAAATGGTCTTTGTGTAGTCTCAGTTCAATTAAAAACTAAAGCTAGCGCCGGGTGGTGGTAGTGCATGCCTTTAATCCCAGCACCCAGGAGGCAGAGGCAGGCGGATCTCTGTGAGTTCAAGGCTGGGCTAGACCGACAGCCTCCAAAACAATACAGAGAAACCCTGTCTCGTAAAAACCAAAAACCAAAACAAAACAAAAGAGCAAACAAAAAACAAACAACAACAAAAAAAAACTAAAGCTAGCTTTGGAGTTGGAACATGGCTCTTTCCTTCTCTAGAGCCAAGCATGCTTGTTGAAGAAAAATTCAATATCTGTGTCTCATGTAGAAGATAGAAGAGCCACCTGACATGGGACAGAAGAAAAACCAAAATTAAGGGACTAATCTCCTAATTCTTTGGTTTTATTTTGACTCTTTAAATTTTTCTTAAGGTATAAATATTATCTCAAAATTTATAAGATTGATATACATATTAAACTTTCTGTCATAGTATTAAAGGTCATATAGAGTACTAACTAATTCTAGAAAAAGGCTTCATCTAGATTCCTATACATGATTTCAGAATTGAGTCTCTAGCAGGTAACTAGGAATTAAGATTTTGTACTCTGGATGTACTTAACAAATTGTGATCCTTTAACCTCTCCAAGATCTACTGATTATGACGTTTAGAATCTTTAAATTTTCTTCAGTGAACCATGACCATTCCTAACAGTGATCGGTGAAGTTCCCAAAAGGATGATGGGGCCCTACAACAATGATTCCACCTGCACTGTGGTAACCCACTTAGCTGACAAACATCACCCAACAATCGACTTTGTATTATAAACTTCTCAGGATAATTTCAAGGTGGCTAGCTGAAATGGTCTAGCCTCATGCTCTACTCTAGCCAGGACTTCAGGTAAGTCCTACACTTTCCCATTATACAGTGACTGGCAACAAATGATATAGCTAGCTCTTACCGGACTTGGCCATTGTTTCAATTTTATCAGGGTCCCCTAAAGATGCCACAATTCCCAGACAACATGAGGTGATTTTAAGAACATAACACCCATCCCCGGGATGGGTGCTTTTTGGTTGTTCACTGGGTTATGGATATTTGTCATTATTTTGGGAGATTGGTTATAAGTTGTTATTGGTAAAGGTCAGGACAAAAAGCTGAACAAAAGAGATTGTATTCAGGGATTTCATTCTGAAAAGAAAAAGGGGGATTATAAAAATGATACGATAAAAGGATAGATGATTGAGTCTAATTTTAAACCAACAAATGGCTACTAATCTTAAATATTTTATATCGGTATGGATTTTGTATATTGACACAAATTTAATGTTATTTTTGTTATACTGTATATATACTTCTACTTTTGTTTAAGATATTCTTGTATATTGATACAAATTTAAGGTTATTTTTTATTAAAACACACTTGGCATATATTTCTGCTCTTGTTTAAGGCATTGTACCTAAGCAGCTCACTTAATAATGTAATATAAATTTTTAGTCCTTGAAAATTATTAGTGCAAACTATTTAGGATAATAAAGAATTGCAGGTTAGTAGTTAGTCACCTATTACAATCAAACTTAAGGTCATTTTAAGTATGTTTTCAAGATCAAACTGAGGTATATTTTAGACAGACAAGTGGTGTTCAAACACTTCAGAGATCTATAGAATATGGCTTTTAAGATGTTTTGATAATATAAGGCATTTTATGACAATGAGACATGTCTGATCCTGGCAGCAGCAATCTATTTCAGAGAAGACGATAAGCATCAAAGAAACTCCATATGGACTTTATTTTCTTTATGGCAAAAGTAAGCCACTGGACAGGAAACTGCCCTTGCTTCTACTGCTGTCCAAATTGTACAAGCAGGACAAAAGAATGTGACTGCTGAACTTTGCCAAACAAGGCATGGAAGTCCTTTAAAATTTATGCTTCACAGAAAAGCCTTTCATATATTCTAGGCTTGTAGGCTGAAGATGCACAACCCAAAGTTACAAATGAACCTTGGGTGACTGTTCAGGCAGCTAGCTCTTTCTGTCATTTCTTAGTTTTGAAGTTGTTTTCTCCACACTTCATGTTAACTTATAAATAGTATATCCTTCTCGGGTCTCTGATGGAGTTGAAGATTAGATAGTTACAGTCATAGTTTTCCCTATAACAAATTTAGAAAAGACACTGACAAAAGAGTTGTAAAGTGTATAAGGTTGAGAGATATAAAAGAATAGTTTTGGGTTGGTTATACAAATTAGGATAAGAAGTGAATTAGCTACAAAACTTCAAACTCACTAAGATAGGATAGATGATATAGATAGTATTTCTCTGAATTTGCCAAATGCAAATGAACTGGACATCATGAACATAATTCTTACCTGATAATTGTTCTTACTGTATCTTGTTCTACTATGTCAGGGTTAAAAACCTTCCCTTTTTATTTAGACAAAGAGGCTGAATGTTGTTATATTTTGATTGCGTTATGACAATAAAAAGTTTGCTTTCAGTCAGAGTGTGGAGCTAGCCACTAGCTGACCAAAACCATACCATGGACAGAGAGGAGGCAAGAAGTAGCAAGACAGGGCCGAGAGAGGATTTCATCCCTTTTGGATGGAAGAATGGAAGAGGTTGGAGGTTACTGATGGCTTCTCCTCAGATTCTCTGATCATTCATGTTCTTACCCCAACAACTGGCTCCCGATTTTTTTAATGATAAAGAATAATTAGATAAATGCTTCACTAACATGAGCAAAGAGGCCATTACTTCACACAATACAAGGACACATATGCCTCTAATTGATGAATTGGTCAGTTGTCACACCTCACCAGCAGTGATCAGTAGGAGACACACTGGGAACGTGCATACAGAGACGGGAACACTGAACCAGTTCAGGCAGCTTAGACAGAGACAACAATAACCCAAGATAGGTATCTCTAGGAATGACCCTCTGCCCTGCATGGTGTGCATAGCAGTTTTGCTTTTTTGTACCTCGGTTTCTTTATCATGTGACATTTGGGAATGTTTTGGGCAGGGTTCTCTAGAAGAACAAGATAGAAAATGTGTGTGTGTGTGTGTGTGTGTGTGTGTGTGTGTGTGTGTGTGTGTGAAGGGTTTCCATTGAATGGTTTACAATTGAGAGGATCTGGTAGTCTAGTGATCTGTGCAATGGAGAGCCTGAGACCTCATCCAGCCACTCAGTGGGCAAAGCTGGATATCTTTGCAGTTCTACCCTGGTGCTGAATGCCTGGAAGATTCTTGGTGAGTCTCAGGTCTTCAGTCCCTATTACATCGAAAGGCCAAGAGTCTGGATACTGATGTCACTGACAGATTGCATCATCATCATCATCACCACCACCACCACCACCAGCAACAACAGGTAGGAGGGACACATTCAATAGCAAGGGCAAAGGCAGGTAGGCAATAGACAACGAGTGTACCATTTTCCCTTGAACCTCTTTAAATCTGAGTTGTCTGTTGAAGGGTGCTACCCACTGTGGGGAGGGTCTTTTCCCTCAGGTAATGCTCCCTGGAAATGCTTTCCTAGACTTGTCTAGAGGTGTGTCTGAGTGAATCCCAGATCCTGCCAAGTGGATGGTCAAGAATCAAGATCAGCTTCCACAAGAACTTACCTCCCTGCAAACTCATAGTCCCTCTTGAAGCTGATCCCTGTGGGCCACATCTATGGACTCATTACAACTAGTTCTGCTTCCTTAGTAGACAGAAGGAGTCCTGAGTCTTACAAAGTTCGGGCTCTTCCTCTACATGAATCTCCATTACTGCAAATTTACTGTGACACATTAACTTTATCCTAACCCTAAGGTCTAATTATAGTTACAAAGGTGACTGAAGAAAGTTAATTAAACATAATAGCACAAATTATCACACCAGAAAATACAAGGAAATGAAATCATTGCTGTCACTAGGAGCGGTTGGGAGATTGGGACCACTTGATGGAAGGGAGGTATTATGATTGGCTGTATTATGACTCCATCTGTAGAAATTTCAGTTCATTTTAATATTCATTATTTTTATTTGTGTGTATATATGTGTGTGTGCCTGTATGTGTTTACATGCACCAAGTGTGTGCAGGAGCCTGCAGAGGCCAGAAGAAGGCATCAAATCTCCTGGAAGTAGAATTGCAGGTGGGTTATGAGCTGCCTGATATGGGTACTGGAAACTAAGCCTGGGTCCTCTGCAAGAACGTGAGATGCTCTTAGCTGCTGTGCCTCTCTGCAATCCTGAAATTTTAGTTCTAAAATAACTCAATATACTCTCTATTTATAAAGCGAGCATATTTCCAGAAAGTTTTGAGCTCTTCCACAGAATTGAGAAGAGTGTGAGGGAGATCCAGGAGTGTGAGACCTTTACCCACCCCCAAAAGGTAGGCTACCTTATCACTGTCCTTCTTCATGAACATTTACTCTTTAGTTTGCAATATGAATATATTTGGTTTTTTTTCTTGTGCCATTTAGCAGGCAGGGTTATTTCATTAATGGCAAAATGTGGCCAGGGTCATTTTTCTTCCTAATTACTTTGTTTTATTCTGTTCAATATTCCCTTTTTAATTAATTAATACATCTTATTTTTGTAGAACCATTTTGGATTTGTAGACAAATTGGGCAGGTGCCACAGACTCACATGGTCTCCCCCATCCCTCCCTCCCTGTTATTACTAATTATTAGCATTGTCACTAACCTTACTTTAGTATGATGCATTTGGCTAAATTAACTAACTGGTATTGAAGGATTTTTGTGAAAATCCATTACTTTTTCATAACTTTTGTATTCCCTCTGTGTTCCATAATCCTATCCAGTAACCAAAGTACATTAGGCCATCATGTCTCTTTAAATTCCTTTTGGAGGTGATATTTCCTCACCCCTCCCTCATTTCTGATGACCTTTGAGAGCATTGGGCAGTATCATCAAGGCATACCACTTCTTCCTGCTTGGATTTTCTTATGCTATTTTCCTTTACTTGGGTATAGAGAAGATGGAGGTGGAAAATTATTTCCATGATTTTCGATGAGTATGATGGACTAGACTACCCATCGGAAATAGTGTTGATCAGGGATGTCCACTGTGAGGGGTTGATTCCTACCTCTTCATATCCCACATCTTATTCTTTGGAAGCAGATCACTCCATCCTCCTTCACACAGGTGGGACATAAAGGCTCCATCTTTAGAGTAGCATACCTACATAATTTATGTATAATTCTTCTACATGGGAAATTTCCTCAAAGATTTTGTAAGCAGAGGGGCTGATGCCACCTCAGGGGTTATATATTTTGTGGCTACACAACTGCATTTTTTTTTTAAAGTAGGGTCAGAGAAACATGTTGACTAGATGCACTAAGAGGACCAGGGTTTGAGATCGAAAACCAGTACAGTCGTTTTTTTTTCTGGAACCAGATCCTGCACATACCTCTTTCCCTCGGAGCTGTGTGGAGTGCCCAAAGTTTCTACTTGGCAATGCAGCAGAAAGGTGACTTCACTTGCACCTTGCTGCCTGGAACAAATGTTCCCTGAGCATGGACTTTGTTGACTCCTCCTCCTGCCCCTATCTCAGCTCTAAGATCATCTCTTCCCAGCCATCCTCAGAGTATCCTAGGCACCCTCAGAGCATTACAGGCATCCCAAGAATGTCCTAGTCGGAGCAGACTCATGTTTCTTTGCTCTTTCTGTCGCTTGCATTTCTGTCCTTCTTGTATGTCGTTGCTTATTGTATTAATCATCCTGTTTGTTCACGTGTTTACCATCTGGCATTGGATGATAACCATTCTTAGCTGCCTGCACTCAAGGACTTTATCAGTTTTATTCATCCTGATACCAAGAACTACCTCAAATAAATTAGATAAAAAGATATAGACATTAGGTTGACCACTGAGGATAATTTCATGGAGTATTCTCTGAAGTTACAAATTAATATAAATGCAAAAGCTCTTTCACAACTCTGACCCAGTGTAATGAACCAGTTTTACCAATGGCTGCCCTTCCAGGGGAAGGGGGGAGGTCCTGAAAGCAAATTGGACTTTCAGCATCTGATCCTTGTTTGGACATTTGTAAATCCCAATGAGATGAGGTTATTCTCATTTAGACTGCTTTTGCTTAGAAAATGTAAATCAATATGTATTTTGGCTGCCACCAAGGAGATCTGACTGAGTTAAATAAATTAATTAAGGGAAAACCCTTGACTTTTATGTCAAGTGGAGGCTATCCTCCCAAGACTCTGTAAGATTCAGAAGAATCATGTTTCTTCTCTAGAGGAAAAGAAGCACCATGGAATGTTTCCTGAGATGGAGCAAACTTGGGGACTCCCAGGATGGCTGAAAGGTGTTAAGTGGATGGCGACAGGGCTTCCTATTCGAGATTTGGAGAAATGACTACACAGTGATTGTCAGGGTGGCCACACCTGCAAAGACATGAAGTCATGGCAGCTACAGTTTGCTCGTAATGCAGTGAATATGATAAATCTCTGAAGCATTACAGGGCTAGGGGGAAAATCCCTGATGGATGCTTCCTATCTTGTGTAGACCATGAGGGAATGCATGAGTCTTGTCTCGGGCATAAATGGATATTTTTAATTGTCTCTTCAATGGACTGCCTTCTCCACTTAGAGTTGAGAGACCTGACAACTTAAAGTCATTTAAAAAAATTACCCCACCTCTCTAGATTGCTAAGTGGTATTATATAACCTCATAATATTAGGTGTCTTTTCCTAAGAGTATTTTTTCCCCTTGGATCCATGGAAGGCAGTCTTGGTACCAAAGGTTTATTGCTGTAGAAACATCAATCTAATGCTACGATATAAAACTTACTAACAAATTTTCCTGCTTTATTTTAGGTTAAAAATGTGTCCAATGACCCTGTAAGAGCTCTGGCTCTAGCCAGTTATTCAGCCTTCATTTGTATTGCAGGGATTTCGCATGTGTCTCTCTCTTTCTGTCTGGAGGTCATCTTCCTGCACTTTCCATTGAGTAACTGCTGGGTCTCTTGGGTACCAGCCCCTCTGCAAGTGCTTGCATGGTACTCTTGCATGGATAACCCTAACTATAACTCTAACCCTAACCCCTTCCTGACTTCTCAGGCTAGGGCAGGGTGCTTTGCTTATTTTGACATGGTGTCTACTGTGACCAATCATCAGGACAGAGATAAACTTTGTCTCTGGATGACCAGCCATTGTCCAGCCACACAGACCATGGTCAGCTGAATACACTGCTCAGGACTGGGTAGACGGAGCTGGGTGAATCATCTGGTTCTGTGTTGTGATCCTCTTATGAGTTTCCTACATGCTCAAAGTTCTGGTCATGGAAGTAAGCAGTATCATACACAGACAAAAATTGTCAGTTTTCATTTTAGTTCATTATCACCATGAGACGGATGAAGACAAAGGCTAGGTATATCAGCTTTGACTACTCAATTCCAGGTTCAAAACCTGATTCTACCAATTACTGGATGTGCAATAATGGGAAAATTACTGTAAAATTTCTCTGCATTCCACCTTTATCCTCTGTAAATTATGTACAACTGGATTTAAGATTGTGATCCACTAATTCTCTTTTAAATATTTATTTTATGTTTAATTATACATGTGAGTATTTTGCCTGCTTCTATGTATGTGAACTGCTTGTGTGATTAGTGTTAGCGGAGGATAGGAGAGGGTACTAAATCCACTGGAAATGGAATTATTGGAAGTTATGAGCTGAGTATGAGTGTGAGTGCTGAGAACAAAATCTGGGTGTCTGCAGGAGCAGCAAGTTCTCTTAACTTCTGAGCTAACTCTCCAGTCACTGACCCACTAATTTTTAATTGTATAACTTGTTTTAAATTATCTCCATGATTTAGGCTTCTATAAAGTAGAGCTCGCAATACCTACCTGTCTCTCACAGTTATAAGGGGAGTTACATACATCTATCATTTCTCTCTGTTTATATCTATTATCTATATCTATTTAATCTAGGTTCTATATTATTTAGCATCTATCTTTCTATCTATCCATCTATCTATCTATCTATCTATCTATCTATCTATCTATCTATCTATCTATCATCTATCTATCTTACTCTATTTTGATTGGGTTTAGATGCCCAAATCTGTGCAGCCACTGCTCTCTCTTGAGAAAAGACAGCTAAGAGGACACAGACTAGGAACCCTCCTGGTAGTCTCCTGCAGACTTTCACATTTTCTGCAGTAAGAAGATCTGAGAGGGGGCATCCCCAGGCCTCTTGCATGGGAAGCAAGCATGCCTTTACCTTAAACAATTTCCCTGGAGTTGGAGGATGTAGCAATGCTGCCAGTTTCACCTCTGTTCCAGAAGAACTGAGAGAGTGATGCCATCACCCATATCCACCCAAAAATTCTTTAGGGATTCATCTCCCTTTAGCAGTGTTGAATCCTCATTCTAGAATATTCATCCTCCGCCTCCTAAGTCTAGGAACATAGGAAAGGGCCTAGGTAGCGATTAATTAATCTTTCCAACCAGAGAAAGACTGTTGGTATGTAGCTATTTTCATCTTGAAATTGTATTTTCATCAGGGTATTTAAAGGCTTGAGGGTTTTTTTTTCTCCATGAGTCCTCCCCGGCCCCCACATCATCCCTGTGCAGTATAATGGTTAATTTTAGGAACTCTGAGTTTGATTTGTATTTAAGATTTTTTACAATCTATATATAGGTTAGCCTTTAATAATCATTTATACATTGCTTCTTTTTATATAGGTCATGTGTTCTCCTGGGAAGGTAACAAAATTAGAAACAGCAAATACAGTGCAGAATAAATTAAAATGCTTCAAACTGCATTATATAATTTCAGAAAATTGGTTTCACACTGAAATCTTTAAATAAGAAAACCAAATAAGTTAAATAAGAAAACAACAACAACAACAAAAACCAACAACCCTGCAGAGCATGCCAAGGTAGCTATTATTTAGCAAGTTTACCCTTGTAGTAAGGTATGGCTTCTCCTCACAGTGCTGCATCAATGAGACAGGCCATCTAGTCCAAAATGGTAAAACTTACTTGTCTATATATATTTTTTGTTATTTCAAAAAGATTGCTTTAATCCTTCTAGAGAGGAATAGTATTTATTATTCACAACAACACAGGGGCATCCTGACAGTAATTATATTGTCATACATAACTCTCCAAAGTCTCATACACAATGCAGTGCTGTTGCAGTTGGCACTGCAGCCAGAGGGGGGTGTGGGACAGGAGAGTCTGGACCAGGCGTTGCTAAGCAGTGAGGATGAAGAAAAGCGGGCTTCCCCTTCACGGAGGTCTGGAGGTGACACAGCACTCCTGAGAATCCATTAATTCTGCCCAGTGTTGTTTGTTTCTCTGAAGTCCAGCATCACTTCGCTCGTACCAAGTCCTCAGGCTTTCTTCAGTTTCTCTATTCGTGCATTAAAGGCCTCTTCCTGTACTTGCAGTTTTTCGTTTATCTCCTTCTGTGGAGACAATCATAAAAAAAAAAAACGTGGTTATGACGAAGCTATCTTTGGCTGCACATTGTCTTTGTGGTTTTGACATACTATAGTGCCTAAAGACAGACATTATCCCTCACACACCTTCCTGTTTTGCAGACAGAGCTGTGCTCCAGCCTGTGGTGATGCGATAACACTTTATCGTATTTCTCTGCACATTCCCAATGTATAGCATGTCTACCACAGACAGGACGTGGTGTTTGGACAGCCATTTTCCACACAGCCTCGTGTTGGAAGATAGGATAACTACCTGCATTTCCAGACAGATTTTCCAATAAGGGCCAAATCAGAACAACTGCTTTGGGCTCAGTTGGTACAGTGCTGTGGGTCCCCCTACCCTTCGTTTTGGCCTTCCCTCTAATGCATTCCAAGTGGGATTCCTGGAAGCTCCAGTGTGTGAAATAGTAACAGAGTAATCTCATGATTAGAACAGCTCTCATAATTAAGAGTATTCATCATACATTAAGATTCTTGCATGTATGCCACTTTGTAAATATATTTTTGGTATGAAAATGAAAAAAGAAACTCATAAGCCATTGGTGACAGATTTCAGCGATCATGGGAGCTGTGATGGCGGTGAGCCTCCGGCAGTGGCATCCTACACTACCTGTGTAATTCCAGACATACACTCATTGTATTTGCACATCTCAACACTAGGAGCTCAGTATATGCCTTCCTTCCATCAACATGAATAATACAGTTGCATGCAGGGACAATAGCAGTTGGGAGGCAGATGGTTACTATTTGTGTGACCTGAGGACATGTACGTGTGTGTGGAGAGTACTTTATACTCCTGTGTGTTAATGAGACAAAGTCTAGAATATTGAAGTATATAACATAGTTTGAAATCTTCATGGTAATTATATTTCTGGTAAACTTTTATTATTTAATTTAAATAGAAAAAATAAAAAGCGTTACTGTATCATGACCAGATATGATTAAAATATTTTTATGTAATTATGTAATTTTTAAGAAGGTAAATGTAATGGGTGATTTTGAAATGTTTTCTCTTTTTCCCTGATTACTATTTTAATGAGATCTGGCTTTTGCTAGCATAGGAAGAGTTGATATTTCTGGCAGGTCACATTGGTGATTTGTGTGAGTATTGCTGGAACTCAGGCATGATGCTGACCCCACCCTGCCCTAATGTGGGGCATGCTGGTGTGGTCCACTCAGTGAGCATGGGCAAGGTTCCCCTTTTAAGCTCACGCCCTTCTCTTACCTTCTTGGTTTCTTGTTGTCTCTCCCCCTCTTGCTCTCCCGCCCTGTAATAAACTCTATGGTTAATGTATCTCGTATTTCGTGTTCCATCTTGCGCCTTCTAATTTTAATCTCAAACAAAAGAAGAGCAAAAATTGAATGGGGCAGGGCTTCTAAGTTTTTTTTTCCGAGATCAACTTTTGACTTCTGGTGTCTTCATATTTTTCTTTGTTATTGGTGAGTGGATGAGGCAGAGGAAGAGATGAAATGACCCTCCACTTAGTTACCTTTTCACTAATACCCCCATGCAGGAATTTATATACTGTCAACTAATCTATGGTCTACTTAGGTTACCTCACTTTGAACAAGTCACTTAACCACTATGACTAGTTTTTGTCTGGGAAATGAAGTATTGAATGGGGGTTAGTTAACGTTGCACTTCAGTTTTTGCATTTGAAATCCCAACTCCTGATTTCACAATATACATCACTAATGGAGTAGTTCACTAATATGTTATTGTGAAATATTAAAAATTGTTGCACCTTATGAATTAACATACATTTATGATGTATTTCGCCATCTAGGTGTTGAAATGGTCTGAAGAAATACTTTGGACACAGTATTGGGAGGACTTGCTCTAGCCAGATGGCGGTCTCTTCTTCTCACTAATGCCTCTGTGTCCACCCATCACCTCATGTTTTCCAGAAAAGACAGGCCGGGCCATCATCTAGCATTTTCTCTCTGGGTCCTCACTAGTGTTTCCACAAGGATGTAGGAACTCTCCTTGTATTTCCCTGAGACAGAGTTTGTTACACTGCATGTGGGCTTTGGAGAGAAGCTTCATGAAGGCAGCATGTGCCTAACAAGAGTACAGTACTGGCAGGAGAGGCAACTTCCAGATCATCAGAACTTGTGATTGGCGCTTTAGTTTAGGTACAACCCGCGGAGACTGAACAGAAAAAAAGGACTTTGTGTTTACTCACTGGACCCGTTGGTTTGCTGTCATCCTAGTTATGCCTCAGAATCCTGCTAAGTAGACATGTCACCTTCAGCTTGGGGCTGGGTCTAATTCTAATTTCATTAGGAAATATTCTGAGACCCCTGTTCTGTGTTCAGTAGCTTTTACAAAGCACTACCTAGGATGACTTTTCTCACCTGGACAATTAGAAGTTGACATAAGGCATCGTAAATGGCAGGATGTCAAATTTTCTTTACCTTTTCTATTATTTTATTCCTTTGCTGTGTTAGGGCCAACAGTCAGCATTTAGTGCAAGAGTCCATCCAGCATTATCATCCCTGTTTCTCTAGAATATTATTCCTTAGATATATTAAAGTTTGTTTCATTGGGTGTTATTTTTATTATGCAACTGAGGGCAGAACAAATTTCATTTCGAGTGTATCTTTAAAATGAAAATATCTAAGCCTTATTGGCTTAAAATGTTTGGTCTATTTTCTGTAATTTGAATTGACATCTGAGGGCCAAGGTAACTTCATTCTTAATAAATCTCTAGAGCTGCAAAGTGAATCATGGAAAAATAAGTAGATGAACATAAAAAATTAATGGTTTATACTCCATTTCAGGAGTTTCTGCATTAGAGAAGTCGATATTGGCTTGGAATTACAATAGAGAAATAGCTCCTACACAATGTACTGAAATATGAACTCTCTATTGACCTTTTCCTATAAAACTGCAATAACAGTGTGACTTTTAAATAAAGTGGAAAAAATACTACAGAGTGATCACAAACACTGAGAGGCAAATACACTGAGTGAGTGCATGTATCCATGCATGGCATGGCAGTAACATGTAGCCAGTGTCCATTGATCCACAATTTTGAAAAGGGGCATGGAAGTTTTTATAAGTAGAATCATTTAGAAGTGCAAAGTAACTTAACCTGTCTGACACCAAAGGAAAAACTGAAGCAAGACTTGGGGCAATGACCCAACTTGGAATCTGTTCAAGAGGAAGGTAGATATCAGGGAAGCACGGAGCCACAGGTGTATTAACAGTCAAAGTAGCCTGGGCCTGGTGTTAGACGTGCGACTTTCTTAGATGGTGCTGGAGTTGCAAGAGGGACCAGGCTCATAGAACCTGCTGAGCCTTCTGAGTCTGGAAACCCTAGACCAACAGCAATCTTTCTGGATTCCATTTGTCACCCAAAGAGCCCTCTTTACTTGCATGGAGGTTAGCAGGACTGCAGGGAGAAAATACAGAAGGTGGTTTGCTATCTTGAGACACTGGAGAAAGCTGCATCATCTTGTCATTTTGTTGAAAAAGCAGCAGTCATCTAGCTCGAGCTGATTAGGTCCACCCAGTACAGAGACACTCACACCCACAAGGTCCGGGGGTCAACCCTCTGGTCCATGTTCTCTCTGTGTGGCATTGCACTTAGGTATACAAGCTATTGAACTTCGAGATGGCTTCATGTTAATGGGAAGATGGCAAGTCTGTATACCAATCCTATTCTTTCTGCCAAAGACAGAGGTGCCAGTGTTGCAGAGTCTACAAGGAAATCGTAAGCGAACAGTTAAAAAAGCGTGCAGCTCCCTTCATGGAACATGGACTTGGTAAAGATGTTTTCAATTGTGGGTCCTGCGAACAATTCTCTTGCTTGTCTAGTAATTCCTCAGCAATAATTTCAGAGCTGTGGGATTGCAAAGGAGCCCTGGGCCATGATTATACATAAACTATATTTAGAGGAAATGTTATCAAATGTAAAAAGGAGGTATGTTCTGAACTTAGCTTAATTCAGCTGCACTCTGCCCTTCTACACAGTAACCAGTTATTACATTCACAGGGCTGTTAACAATAGCCCTTTGTGTAAAACGTGTTCTTCCACTATTTCTGGTAAACACTAAACACCCCTTATTAAGCTGGGGACTTTGGCTGATCCTGTTGGCACTGGATCATTAAATGTGTGTGTAAATATTGCAATAACATTTGATGATTAAGCCAGTAACAAGGTATGCTTAGGACAACCTAAGCTGTTACTCTTCCCAAATTAGTTATTAATACGGTATGCTTTTTATATATGGTCCCAAGTTCACATAACAAATGAATCTTCCCCTCAGATGCGTAAGCATGGTGATTTATGGTCATTTCTCAAAACACGCAATTCTCTTCATTTAAGCACTCAGCTTAGGAAAATCATGCGGATTCCTGTAAGTTTTTTTGTGGAGGTTGCAGTAGTTATTTGTTTCTTGGACAGAATGGGGAAGTATTAAATACAAAGTAACCCTGTGAGAGATGGCAGGCAGTGGCCGGGAGGCGGAGTCTACTGGCCATTCTTAGGCACCCTTGGTGCAAACGGCTTAGCAATTAGTGATGTGTGAAGATGGGAAGTGCTTGAGAAGAATTTCAAACCTAAAACCAGCAAGGTGACTTAGCTAAACATGACAGTTTTGATGGGCAGCATTCCCTCTTCAGAAGCCCGGGTCACTTACTCTTTCGTAAGGCTGGCTCAAGAGTCTTCACCATGCTTTTTTTTTTTTTTTGCGGGGGGGGGGGATGGTGCTCAGTGTCAAAGATTTTGCAAGCTGATAACACACAGCACACGTGATGCTGCTGGCAAATCTGTTTTGTGATCTTACTGAATTCAGGAGACTCAGCTGAGGATTATATAGCCTTGTCAGATAAAGTGTGCAAACCCAAACCGTAAGCCTCACTCTTGCTTGGCTAGACCAGGCCATTCGGAATTACAAATATCCGGGCTGAGGCTGGATGATTCACCAAGTGTAATGGGGAGTACACAGCCCATTCTCAGTACCTGAATGTTCAACAAAACCTCATCTGTCACTCGAGCCAGTGCTGATTTTACATCGTCGATGGTGAAACCAACTAAAGAATCCACCTCTGCGCCTTCAGTCTCTGACTGGGACTCCTGGGGGCTTTGCTCTTGATCCAGCACCTAAGACATTGGAAATAAACAGACATTGACAGTGAACAGCATCCAAGCGAGCATGTGAACACTCAGGGATATACAGGCAACCTCACATTTCTATTCTGTATGGCGCCCTCCTGGGAGCAGGGGTGAACTGGAAGGAGACTTCGATTTTTATGTTACCGCATATCGTGGGGATTACAAGGGACTTTGGGGACTGTGAAGGAGGAGCCTGGGTAGGATGGTGGGGAGGAGATAAAAGAACTCCTGACCACCATCATTCGGCCTGTGCGTACCTCTGAAGAGACCATTTTTATTGGCTAGGAAATAGTCATGTGCAAAGGCGATGGGAGAACATGTTATTTCTTCCACCTTGTGCCGATATAATGCTTACTTAGCAGGGTGAGGAAAGGCAAACTCAAGCCTACCTTCCCTTCGGTCTCTGGGGTTGGCATCCGTTCTAAGAAAGCCGAATAGATATCCAAAGAGATTCCTTCCTCCAGCGGAGCTGGGAAAGGGTGGTCTGCAGGCTTGACGGCTTCTATGGTTTGCTGGAAAAGAAGAGTTTTGGTTGAGTGGCACCGTCTCAGCCAGTTCCCTCACAGGACTGGCATGTTTCCAAATCCATATCTTATTTAGGTACCATCCGCTTCAACTCTCCGATACCATTGTCTGGTGAGTTTCACTTGCCGTCTCTCACTCACAGTTAGAGTTTTCTTCTTACCTTTACTCTGCGGTTCAGGGTTCATTCATTTACATTGATCCCTGCATCATGCCCTGCCTCTCACTCCTGTTGATAAGCTCTTTTGAGGAACAGAGCCAAGCTTCAGACCCCTTGGGCATCTGTCTTCTCCAATTCAGTGCTTCCTACACCCAGCAACAGCCTGGTGCTGACTGACATGACTTAGCAGGATCTCCATGCTCTTGTGGTACAAACAAAATGGCTATCAACAACCCAGTAATGGGGCTGACCTTGCCGAGGACCTGAGTTTGATCCCCAGGACCCACATTAAAAAAAAAAAAGCCAAGCATGGCGGTGTGTGCTTGTTATCCCAGTGCTTGGAAAGCAGAGGCAGGAGGGTCCCTGAGGATCATTGGGAAGCTCCATTGGGTGGACGGTACAACATGCAAAGTTGACCTGTGACTTCCACACGGCTACACAGGTGTATGCACACACCACAGGTTCACACATGCAGATACATACAGAGAGTGTAGCAGTGAATACAATAGAATCTTTGAAGTATAATGTGTGTATAAAGCCAGAGTCAGGTGAGTCATTAGAGGGACTCACTGAGAACTCATAACAGAGCGAGACTTAACTGTGAGCAGCCGACACAGCTTTGCCTAGAGGACGTAGAAGCAGTGGAAGAAGACGGTCAACAATGGCAGGGATGGACAAGGGGAACCACGGATGCCAATGTTGGCAGCGTCCATCCGGCCACCACCAGGCAGAGCAAAAGAGGAGCTGAGGGCACAAGCAGCATTAAACTGTGAATCATTTACTTGGGTCCTCTTGTTCTAATTCCGTGTTTAACAAGCAATGATTTTTGACCATAATTTAATTTCCCATCTCAGTTGATCTGTAAAGACATGTCTACTTGAGTGTTCTGGCTTTTGTGTTTTTTACATACCTCACTATAAATCAATAACTTGTTCCAATTTGATGAGGTCATTCACTGGTGTGCTGACAGAGTTGGACCTGAGTATACAAATTTGGAGACAGAACTATGGAAAGGCTTACCCCACCCCCATTACCATCTTAGGATGCTCGTGGGAAAGAAAAATCACAAAAGTCATTTTTAAGTTCTCTGTGTTACATGCCATCATTTAAATATTAGTGTTCTTCCTTGGTAGGCTTTGGGTAGTGCTGGAGGTAGATTTGTTCCCTGGTTTTACCAGTGTCTATGTATGTATTTGAACTGAATTTTATATTATTATTTTTTTGTGAATGTATAGGAAATTGCTGTTGTAGATAAATGGTAGCAAGGATATACAGCAATGGAGAGGTGAAATGATTGGTCTAAGATCCAGTGATTACTTAGTGACAGCCTTAGCGTTAAAGCCTGGGGCAGTGACTTCTTAGCTTTTGCTGTTTTTCCGTAAACTGCAATATGTCATCAAGTGGCCATCTTGGGAAACTACTGAAATTGCTAAGCATCTAATTTTTATTCTGTTGGATGTAAGTGTTCATCAGAGTACTGAGGAGACCTCGGGACAGTGGGGCTTCCTTCTCATCACGTTCATCAACTGTTGCGTTTTTGCCAATTGAGGCAAATAACATCCTCTCAGTGTTATTTGCCACCACCTGCCCCCCCCCCCATCCCAGCCATCATGCCTGGCTTGCAAACTCCCAAATCTCTATTGCTCTTCATTTGCCCAGGCAAGAAAGAGGCTAGCCATGCTTCAGGGTCCTCTGAAAATCCTACAGGTAAAATGAAGAAGCTGCCTGTGGGAACCAGAGATGGGGGAAGAAAATGTGGTGTTAGCTTGGAGGCATGGACTTTAACATATGGTGAGAAAGAGAGCCTATGTAGTGTAGGGTGTGTTAGGGGTGATGGTCACACGGGAGACACTGAAGAGAAGGGAGAATCTGAGCTGACTGGATTGGTTGCAGGCATTGAGCATGTGCTGATGAGGGGGTGGGGGGTGAGGGAAGTTAGGGGGTGTTGGGGGGATGTTTTTCTTTTTAATTAAGTAGAATGTTGTCTTATTTACTCTCACCCATATTACCGCTGTGCTCCGGGCACACAGGCTGGGGTTTTCTGCCTGTTTGTCCTCATCTACTGACATTCTTGGCAGAGGACCTCCCCATTTGGTGAAGCAGAGCCGGTGATCTACCCTCAGGTGCCCTAGCCCTCCACAGATTCTACACCTAAATGCAAACAGGTGTTTGTGTTGAAGTCTTATGAGTTCTCCCTCACACCTCTGTGGTATGGATGGATTGACTGACTTCCTTTTAAAGGATGTGTATGGCCGGGCGGTGGTGGCGCACGCCTTTAATCCCAGCACTCGGGAGGCAGAGGCAGGCGGATCTCTGTGAGTTCGAGGCCAGGCTGGACCGGCAGCCTCCAAAACAATACAGAGAAACCCTGTCTCGTAAAACCAAAAATAAATAAATAAATAAAGGATGTGTATGTATGTATGTATGTATGTATATATGTATGTATGTATTGGGGTATCTTGGATACCAGAAGAATGCATCAGATGCCCATAGAGCTATAGTTACAGGGAGTTTTGAGGTGCCTAACATGAGTGCTTGAAACTGAACTCAGGTCCTGCAGAACCTTAACCACTTAGCTATCCTCCTCCCTCTCTCTTGCCCCTCCCTCTTTCCCTCTTTCTTCCTTCCTTTCTTCCTTCCTACCTTTCTTTCTTGTCTTTGCTTTCTGTCTCTATATGTGTGTATGCATGTGAGAGTGTGCATATGTCTATGTGCATGAGTATATGAATGTATATGTAGTTGTGCATATATGTGTGTGTAAATGTATAACTGTGTGTCTGTGTTTATATGCATATGAGTGTATGTATGTGAATCTATGTGTGTAATATGTATGTACATATGTATATGTATGTATGTATATATGATATGCATGTATGAATGCATATGTGTATGAGTCGATGTTTGTGAATGTATTTATGTGTATGTATATGTACATATGTGTGAATGAGTGTGTTAATATGCACATGTATGCACATGCATGCTCGTATGTTCCCTAACACATATGAAAACTTGGTTCTCTCTGACTCCATACTTCCTTTCTTTGGTATACAGAAACTTGCATTTATTCCCAGAAGCTGAAATTATGGCTGACAGTTGAGGTTTTCTGTCTCTTGATATTTTTTTTAGTGTATGCCGTTCATATCATTATTAAATTGATTCAGTTCATACTCAGGAGTTGGGGGGTGAGAATTTCTTTTCTTTGCATGCTCTGCATGCTGTTAATGAACCGAACCACAGCTGTTTCTCTCTTTCACGAAGAATTAAATTTAGCTGTGTTAGGCAGTAGACGAAGGTGCAGTTTTAAATACAGAGTTTGAAATAAACAAAAGGCTCCCAAGTATCACAGTGAGTTTTCCTCTATGGAAAGTGATCGCCTTCCTCAAAAAACAAATCCAAGGGAAATTAGAATCAATAATTGTGGTGAGCATGCAGAGGCAGTGTACATGCTTAAATGAAACCGTCTGATGCAATACTTTCTTTAAAAAATACAATTAGGCCTTTGTATTTTTTTAACAAAACCTCATGTTTTACAACATCACTGGCTCTGTAATAAAATCTATTTAAAACAGAGAGACATGGTCAGCTTTATTGAGTTAGATTTTCTGAGAGAACATTATAATTTCCTCAAGTCTACGAATAGTTGAAGCAAATTAAATAAAGCCAGTTTTCTAACTATTTTTATACATTCCTGTAGGAAGGCAATTGTCTCACATTTTCCCCCCTCAAAAGTCTAATATGTTGCCTTTTAAATATAGAAAAAAATAAAAACAGAAAAATGATAAAGTGAGCATATTAAAAAAATAAAACAACAATCCCCCCCCACACACAAAAAGCCAACCTATTTGGTCTGGATTTAGCCACTTCCTACCCCTCATGCCCCTTTTCACAGAAGACTAGCACCCATGATATTCAGACCAAGAACCAAAAGGAAATGCTTAGAGTAACTTGCCTCAGGCCTAAGACTGAGCTTAAAAGGTAGGACTTTCTGATATATACACACAGTCATTTGGCCAAATGACTGGTTTTGCTTGCCTTTCAAATACCCCTAAGTATTACTTTGGATGTAAAGCAATCAATGTGTTTCTCTTGCTGTTTCTGAATGCTTGCACACAAATGGATATAATAAAAAACGGCCATATTGCTCCACATGAATGCCACTTATACTTTTCTTTTTTTCCGATTATGAGCAGGCCATTGGAACCAAGGTGAGTACATTAAAAGCTCTAATAAAGAAGAGAAGAGAGTTCTAAACAGAATAATGGACTGTTAAGTGAACGTGCAATAAATAACATCCACAGATGTGGTCACTTGCAAATTAGTTTTGCATAACTTACTTTCTGCATTTCCCCCAGATGTTATCTGTTACATGGAAATTACCTGAAGCTGGCTATATTGTTCTTTGTGTGCGCATTGTACTTGTGTTATTTAAGGTGTTTTGTAATCCATGCTTTACTTGACTTGTGTTACGGTATTTAAGGAACAGCAAAGGACTAGTTTTTTGGCATAATTCAATACTCATCAGTACAAAACTCTACCATCAAATATTTTGTGTGTGTGTGTGTATTTTTTAACATAAGCCCTTTACTTTCGAGCCAAATGAAATCACTAGAAATCTTTTGAAATGTGTGTTTTCAATATGAATTGGATATCTACCATGGGAATAAATGCTAGGAATTTTAACCTCTTCTGGAGGGTCAGTTTGGCTCTGAAAATATGCTTATAGGAAATTTCCAGATCTTTGTGTATCTGAGGAGCTATGTGAAGATGTCACATAGCACATACTGTGGTTCTCCACTCTTTCTTCTAGACTTTCTGAACTAACATTTCCAA